GGGGGTGTTTGATGCACATTGTAGAAAAGAAAATGCATTTTATGCTGTGATGTGATGAAAAATATGTGTTTAAAAAATAAGAAAAAGTTTTGAATTTGCGTGTAATATTATTTTATTGAAAAATATGTGGTTAAAAATGATTTTTTTTTTTTAAGAATGTGTATCAAACATGGGCTTAAGTTAAAAACTACGATTAATAGTAGAAAATCTCCTTAGAAATGTTTTCATTTGCGATATACACATACCTATTGAAAATTACAGAAAATCCCATATTTGAAATCTTTTATGTAAAAAACCCCATCGTCGAGATCCATCAGAGTTGCCATTAAAAACAGTAAAAATGTCAAAATTAAAAATGAAAAATTGCAATTTCAGTACACAATTTTTTTTATTTTTTTGCAAATTAAATACAATTTTTTATACGTGTCACCTATGATCTCAAATCTTTAAAATTTATCTCCGCCCCGCCCCGCCTCACCCCACCTCACCTCATCTTCTTCCCCAAAAATAAAATTTGAAAAATCAAAAAACCAATATACAAAGAAATCCTCTATAAATTTTTGATCAAGTAAAGGAAATTTCACTTCATTTGGGACAAAAATGAGGGATTTTGGTTTTGTGGTCTTATATTTGTCTGAAAGTGAATAAATTTACCACATCTTGACTTCAATAAATTGTTAATGTGACCAATATACTGTATAAGAACTAAATTTCCAGTTCTGTGCTTTTTGTCTGTATTTATTTTTGGGGGAAAAGATAGGGTAGGGTAGCGTAGGGTAAGGTAAGGTAGGGTGAGGTGGGGTGAAAAGTAAAGTTTTAAATATTCAATATTGTAGATGACATAAGCATCTGTTTGGAACCCCTTTTTTAGCAAAATACGAATTCTACTACAGCGCATTCTAACAAGAAGCGAATTATTAACCCATTTTCATTCCAAAATAGGTGGGACCCCACTTCCACACCAATCCAATTTTGCGTACACGTTCCAGTGCAAAGTTGCCAAAATTGACTCTTCAAATGCACATGCCTTTTCTTTTTTCCAATATTGCCCTCCAATTCACATGTGATAGGTTGAATATTTTAATCAATC